GGTCTCTCCTGCCCGGGCTGGCTTTGAACCGCGATTCTCAGATCTCAGCCTCCTGAGTAGCTAGGATTACAGGCGTGAGCCACCGGCGCCCGGCTTCATTAATATTTCTTACAACTTAAAACCACATGCCTAGCCGGGCACTGGTCGCTTATGCCTGTAATTCTAGCTACTCAGGAAGTTGAGATCTGAGAATTATGGTTCAAAGCCAGCCTGGGCAGGAAAGTCCATGAGACTCTTATCTCTAATAAACCACCAGAAAACTGGAAGTGGCGCTGTAGCTCAAGTGGTAGAGTACTCGCCTTGAGCTGAAGAGCTGAGGGACAGGGCCCAAGCCCAGAGTTCAAGCCCCACAACCGACCAAAAAAAAAAAAAAATTAAAACCACATGCCAGAATTCTCATCTACTTTAGAACAAAGAAAGCTTTAGATGTTTTCCTCAACTGATGCAAAATTTCATTATTACCTGTAGTACAGAGTAAAATATGGGATTAGAGAGGTAGTTTAGTGGTAGAATGAATTTCTAGCATGCATAAGGCACAAAGGAGAATTGAGATTCAAAGCCAAATAGGGGGCAATGGCATAAACCTATCATCCCAGTTACTAAGGAGGCTGAGATTAGGATGATGGCAATACTAGGCTGGATTGGGCAAAAAGTTCACATGACCTCATCTCAACAAAAAAAATGTAGGTGTGGTAGCACATGCCTGTCATCTCAGCTATGATGGGAAATATAACAAACAGGAGCATTGAGGTATGGGTACTGGTCCCTGTGTCAGAAATAACCAGAGCAGCCACATGCTGGTTGTTCACACCTGTAATTCTAACTACTCAGGAACCCAGGAAAATCAATGAGACTATTATCTCCAAATTAACCACCAAAAAGTCAGAAGGGGAGCTATGGATCACGTGGTAGAATACCAGCTTGAAACAAAAAGCTCATGGACACTGTGCCCAGATCCAGTTCAAATCCCAGGACTGGCACAAACACACACAATCATCATCATCATCATCTAGGCGCTGGTGGCTCAGGCCTGTAATCTTAGCTACTCAGGAGGCTGAGATCTGAGAGTTGTGGTTCAAAGACAGCCTTGGGCAGGAAAGTCCATGAAACTCTTATCTCCAATTAACCACCAAGTGGTAGAACGCCAGCCTTGAGCTGAAGAGCTCAGGGAAAGCACCCAGGCCCAGAGTTCTATAACCTACAAAATTTTTTTTAAAAATTAAAAAAAAAATAAAAAGACCAAAAGGCCTGGGAGGTTTGACAAGGAATAGAGGACCTGCTCAACAAGCACAAAGCTATGAGTTCAAACTTCAGTGTCCAATACCACTCAATGGGATGCGAGGGAAGCTGAGATGTAAGGATCACAGCTTGAAGCCATCCCAGGCTTCTGTGAGACTCTTATCTCCAATAAACACCACCCCTCCCCCCCACAACAAAAGGACTGGAAGTAAAGCTATGGCTCAAGTGGTAAGCACTAGCTTTGGGCAAAAGAAGATCAGGAACAGTGTCAAGACTGAGTTCAAGCCCTAGAACTGACACCAAAAAAAAAAAGTCCTACTTTCAGGTTGGGTCTACTTTTCCCTGGCTACTTCAAGACAAGTTATATAGTCAATGCTATTGAGGATAGTCTGGTCTACATAATTAAATGAGAGTATGATGTAATATTACAACACGTGAACTTTCATTCAGCACACTAATTATTACTGTTATAAATCTCTACTAACATCAAGGGAGTTTGTGAAGACAAATGTTGTTATTCTTTACAGCTAACTCAGAAGATCTCTTTGGGAAAAGGTACTAAATTTTACCACACACTTGCCTCTGACCAGCAGTGATTGTCACATTCTCCGCAGGCAGAGGCACTGAAGACACATTGGAAGCAGTGAAAATCTTGGTTTCAGAAAGCTGGAAAACAGAGGAATTATTATTACTGGTGTCAGATAAGCTAAAGTCAGAAGTTGGCATAGGCTGAATTCAATACCAAAAGAATTTTTTTTTCAATACCAAAAGAATTTTAAAAAAGCTATCTACCCTGAAGAATCCTGAATTGATTTTCAAGCCTAGTCAGGTTTTATCCAAGGATAGGTTAGAATTAAGGGACTCAAAAAAAAAAAAAAGTATAATAGAGTGAAATAATCACATGCGGACTAAACACAAATAAGGTTCTACTTACTAGTCATACAAAAGAGAAAACCCCTCCACATTTTTCTATTATAGCTCCTAATCAGCACCTCAACCCAAACACTTCTCTTCCACTATTCTTTTCAAATAAACTAAAAAGTTAAGAACTCTTGAGCAGTAAAAAAAGTATTAATTATGGTGAGGTAAAGGTTTTTTTTTTCAATAAGTTTTCCCTTTATACTATACAGGTCCTAGTGTTTGAACTCGGGGCCTATACACTGTCCCAGACCTTTTTTGCTTGAGAGATGTATTGAATTTTTAAATTTTTTTATGTAGGTTATAGAACTCTGGATCTGGGTGCTTTCCCTGAGCTCTTCAGCTCAAGGCTGGCGTTCTACCACTTGAACCACAGTTCTACTTCTGGCTTTTAGTAGTTAACTGGAAATAAGTGTCTCACAGACTTTCCTTCCCTGGGCTGGCTTTTAACCACGATCCTCCTATCTCAGCCTCCAAAGTAGCTAAGGTTACAGATGTGAGCTACCACCACCCTGCTTATTATACTCTCATAAGGCATCTAAATTAGGTGATCAACTACAGAAATTAACTCTTGACTACTAAATAAAGTTAAATTGTGATTTTTACTTCTCAAATATTCTCTCAAATAGTGAGGAAATATACCCATTTCTTGAAAGTTGCTAAAGAAAATAAGCCAGATTTCAGAAAGCAGAGAATGATTAAATTCACAAGACAGTCTAGTTCGCTCATAATAGAAAATAATCGTTCTCTGATAGTGATGCTACTCAAGCTTTAAAAAGTCATAATTGGGGCAGGTGCCAGTGGCTCACACATGTAATCCTAACTATTCAGGAGGCTGAAGTCTGAGTACCATAGTTTGGAAGCCAGCTTCAGCAGAAAAGTCTCTGAGACTTATTTCCAATTAACCACCAAAAAAAGCCAGAAGTGGCTCAAGTACTAGAGCCCAGACTTAAGAGAAATATCTAAGGAGTAACAGCCAAGCTTTGAGTTCAAGCCCCAGTACTGGCACACACGCTTGCATGCGCGTGCAACACACACACACACACACACAACTTAAAAGTGATTGACATCATCATAAACACATGGAAAGGTTAACAATGATATTCTCTTCTGTATAACTAATACAAGTTAGTAAATAAACAAAACAGGCAACCTAACAGTTTTGATATATCATTTCCTTGTAACCACAAAAGCCATTTTGCCCAACTATATATAAATATAGGAAATTAGGTTTCAAAATACTAAAAATATCCATAATCACTGAAAACAATCATTCACAGCTAAAGCTTGACTGTGACCAGGAATCAGGAAAACTGTTTTACTCCGGTAGTAAGGTGAATTCAGATTATTTTATGTGCCACTCATCTATAGGGTTTCCAAGTTGAGTCAAATTGGCAGATAGTCAAATGTACATATATTCACCTCAATTACAGTTATACAGGGCTTCAAATAAATGAAAGGGTTTCAGAGCCAATCAGACTATAAGCCTGAGGATTTGGTACCACCATACTAATTCTAACATCCACTGGCAACCCATTACAGGACTATATACCAAATAAGGATTCTTAGTAGATTCATGTACCACCAGCAGCTATTACTCAACGTTCTACCTGCCTCACTCCATTTGTGGTGCCCTACCCAACCACCATCTTTTCCTGGAATAAATCCGACAATCAGATATTGGACTTACACAAGTGCACTTGCCCTTTCCACAGTGTGGTTCCAGAGTCCTGTTCATGCCCAGTCTCCTTCATATAACATATGTGAAATGTTCTGGCTCAGAACACTATTTTGGATGTAAAAGTTTTGGGTCAGAATCTTATGTGTGCATTTTAAGGGGAAGAAATACACCAATTTTCTATCCCTAAACACCACTTAGGGATAGAAGGCATTAATGAGGAATGTCCTGGGAATACCTACATCTTCATTCCAATCTTCAGTTCCCCATTCTTCTGTCGCAGTCCTCCATGCACCTGGAAAGAAAGGAAAAATTGTGGAATAATTTTAAGTATAAAACATGCAAAATCCAATGTATTAACATTTTTGATGAAAGTAAAAAGTATAACAGTTTATTAATCAGAAGGAATTGTTGGGCTTTAGAGATGAAAGACTATAGAAACGGAAAGTTCAGAGAAGTAGGGTTTTGTTAAGATTATGATTTCATTGGTACTTTCAGTTTTTGTTACAGAGCTGCAAGGTGGAGAGAAGGGGAAGAAATGGACTGAAAATGCATGCACACAAACACTAGACTTAAAGCTCCATGCAGTACTATTAAGGACCACAGTTCTATTAAGAACTCTACTGAAGAGCTGTGGGCTATAATGATGTAGTAGTCATTGAGTGAAATGGTGGCAGACAATTCAAACTAAAACATGCAGACTATACATATTTGCTTTGAGAGAGAAAACTATAAGCAGTATGAAGATGATGACAGCACAGCGGTGAAAGAGAAATATAAATAAATAGTAAAAGAAGAATGTCTAAGAATAGGTTTGAAAGTCAAACAGAATAGTGAGAACTAAGAGTTACTGGAACTGAATGAAAAAATATACCCAGAAGTCTTAATTCATAAATATTATAGGTTTAACTAGAAAATTGTAAGGAAGGCTCCATGTATTTAACTCGTTTTGGAAGACAACAGGTTAAAAATCAAGTATGAGGGGCTGGGAAGGTGGCTCAGTGCTAGAGCGCTTGCCTTGCATGCATGAGGCCCTGGGTTGATTCCTCAGCACCACATAAGCAGAAAAAAAAAAAGCCGGAAGTGGCGCTGTGGCTGAAGTGTAAGAGTGCTGCTAGCCTTGAGCTGAAGAGCTGAGGGACAGCACCCAGGCCCAGAGTTCAGGCCCCACGACCGGACCCCCCACCCCCAAAAAAGTCAAGTATGAGCAGTAACTATCAACCTAATCCTACTCATACAATACAGAATATGGAATCTAACCTTTCAAGGTTATGGCACAAACAGAAGCCTACAATTTATCATATTGTAAGCAAGGATACAGTTTACATGGGAAAGGTATACAGACAATCAAAGCACCTTCCACATCTCCTTTCCCCAATTTCTTTGCTTCATATAATTTCAGAAAATGTCCCTTCATAAGGAATTTGAGTGAGAATATGAGAACCACAATTTTTCCCTTGAACCAAAGACCAGAGTGAGAATTTATCTGGCTGTATAAGGCATAACAATATGTTATTTTCTTATCTAGAACTATATATGTATTTATCAAATAACTCAAAAAGCCTTCTAAATAAGTGGACAGTTTCGTTTTGTTGGTTTCTCGGTTATGGGGCTTGAACTCTGGGCCTGGGTGCTGTCCCTCAGCTCTTCAGCTCAAGGCTAGCACTCTACTTGAGTCACAGCACCACTTCTGGTTTTTCCGGTGGGTAAGTGGAGATAAGAGTCTCATGTACTTCCTGCCAGGGCTGGCTTTGAATCGCAATCCTCAGATCTCAGACTCCTGAGTAGCTCGGATTACAGTCTTGAGCCACTGGTGCCCGGCTTAGTTTCCTTTTTTTTTTTTTTTAAATAAGAATTCAAGGAAGGCTGGGCATTATGGTGCAATGCACTAGGCAGGCTAAGGCAGAAAGGCAATTAAGACAAGGCAGCCTTGGGCTATACAGTTAGATACTGTCTCAGATTAGAAAAAAAAAAAAAGGCTAGCATCTAGACATTTCAGTCACTGAATAGAAATATTTTAATATCTATAAAGGAAAAAACCTTATTTCCTACAGTAAACGACAGTATGAATACTTTCCCAAGAAAATTACCAGGAAAATTCCAAACCACTTATTAATGACAATGCATTAAAAAATTGAAGTAGCAGGGCTGGGAAAATGGCTCAGTGGTAGAGCGCTTGCCTTGCATGCCTGAGGCCCTGGGTTCCATTCCTCAGCACCACATAAGAAAAAAGAAAAAAGCCAGAAGTGGTGCTGTGGCTCAAGTTGTAGAGCGCTAGCCTTGAGTTGAAGAGCTGAGGGACAGCGCCCAGGCCCAGAGTTCAGGCCCCACAACCGGACCCAAAAAAAAAAAAAATTGAAGTATCTGTAATCCTAGCTACTCAGGAAAATGAGACCTGAGGATCTCAGTTCAAAGCCAGCCCATGCAAGGCAAGTCCATGAGATTCTTATCTCCAGAAAACCGGAAGTGGTACTGTGGCTCAAGTGGTAGAGTACTTGCTTTGAGATGAAGAGCTGAAGGACAGGGCCCAGGCCCAGAGTTCAAGCCCCATGACTGCCCTCCCTCTCTCCTCCCCTCCCCTCCCTGCCAAAAAAAAAAAAAAAAATCAAAGTCTAATGTCAGTTATACAAGTTATAAATCACATTTCCCCCTATATCTGTTGATACCATTATTTTCCTTTGACATCTGTCCCACCCTGGTTAAATGGAACACAGGAGTTATACACAATTCTAGACTGAGAGGTTATATAATTTAGACTATGCAAGATTTTCATTATACACTCTGGTAACTTCAACTGGGATAGAAAGGAAGAATGAAATACTGACTTGATGCTTTCAAGAAGTATGGTTATGGCTAAGAAACTCATTTTGAGGAAGCAAGAAATAAAGATGGAAATGCTCTGAACAGATTAGGGCATACATTCCCTCAGCATAAAGTGCAGACAATATAAATGTTGAGTATTCATGAAAAAGAGTGGGCACAGAAAAAGAGGAAAAGGTACAAAGAAAAAAAAGCAGAAAAGACAGAAAAATGACATATCCACAGATATTTCAGTTCATAAAAATCTATAAAAAAAATATCCGGGGCAGTTAGGCGCCTGGATGTATCATACCAGGAGCAGTCTCAAATTTTCGGGGATAATTTGACCCCTCAACCCCAATGAAATCAAGTCCTGAAACAAAAAGAAAAGAAAAGAAAAAACAACCAGTGAAATTTTGTTTGTGAATGAGAATGTCTGCCCCCAAATACATAATTCCCACTGTACCTGTGGATATTTTAAGGGTAGGTTTAAATTTATTTTTAAACTAAAAAGGCAACTTGTAATTTTGCTATTATGACAACACAAAAAGAAATCATGCATGAAGGCATGCTAGATCATGAAATCAATAATGAAAATGCATGAAGCTACACACCTAAAACCCTTTTTCTCATTGATAAGAAGGCAGCAGCACCACTGATCATTGTGTGACTATGGACTTCTTAAATAGGGTTTCTTTTCTAATTACTAAAAATAAATATTCACTTCCCCATTGTTTTTATAACTAGATACTTGTTGAATACAGCTAAGGACTAGGACATCAAAGCCTGACTTTTTTTTGGGGGCGGGGGGGGGCCGGTCATGGGGCCTGAACTCTGGGCCTGGGCGCTATCCTTCAGCTCTTCAGCTCAAGGCTAGCACTCTACCACTTGAGCCACAGCGCCACTTCCAGCTATTTTTTTTTTCTGCTTATGTGGTACTAAGGAATCGAACCCAGGGCCCCAAGCATGCAAGGCAAGCAGTCTACCACGGAGCCACCTTCCCAGCCCCCAAAGCCTGGCTTTCTATTTCAAAGTAAAAGTAGTTCCCTAATTTCCACCATCTTTTCTTCCAAAGACTAAAAACTCAATTATTCAAGAGCAAAGCACATTACCTTTTAGTATTGTTACAACTACCCCTACAAATCCATCAGGAGATTAATAGTTCTAATGTCTCTAAAATATAGTAAGTTAAAACAATATTCCAAGCTGAGCACTAATTGCTCACACCTATAATCCTAACTATTCAGGAGGCTGAGATATGAAGTTCACAGTTCAAAGCTAGCCCAGGGAGAAATGGCCCCATGAGACTCATCTCCAATTAACCACCAGAAAACTCGAAGTGGCACTGTGGCTCAACTGATAGGAGTGCTAGCCTTGAGCTGAAGAGCTCAAGAAGAGCGTCCAGGGCCCAGAGTTCAAGCCCCAGGACTACCAACAACAACAAAAAAAAGGATATCTAACCCATTGGAAAGTTTTAAAATGTTTATTAAATAGCATATTTGTGAACAATAAGCAACATTTAGTGCCTAAGGTATACTGTGTGCTAATGAGAAGCTGGAGAAACAAAGATAAGAATCTTTAAAAGGGAATATGAAAATTTAAAATCAACATAAAGCATCTTTTACTTCAGGTTTTTCTATTAACCTATATCTAATAAGATGAAAAGCTTTGGTCTCAGCTGCTGACTCAACCAGAAGGAAGTAAAAGATATCAACAGAAGAAAACACTCCAGAACCTAAAGGCTGCTCTTATTAAAGCAATACACATGGAGCTGGGTGCCAGTGTCTCATGCCTGCAATCCTAGCTACTCAGGAGGCCGAGATCTGAGGTTCAAGACCAGCCTGGGCAGAAAAGTCACCACGAGACTCTAATCTCCAATTAACCACTCAAAAACCAGAAGTGGCTATAGCTCACAGTGGTAGAGTGCTAGCCTTGAGCAGAAGAACTCAGGGACAGAGCCCAGGCCCCCAGTTCAAGCCCCACAACCAACCAACCAAAAAAAAAAAAAAGGTATAAAAGCAATACACACATACCTTTTACCTTCAAAGACACCTTGGCCTACCCATAAGCCTAATAACCTTAAAGATATATGGTGTATCTAAATCTAAGTACCAGAGTCAGCTAACCAAAGAACAATATTACTCATATCTTGCAATAGTCCACAACACATCAAGGCTACTGAACAAAAAAGGAAGCCTGATGAGTCCCTTCATGCTCCAATATGAAGACTTCTCAAAAATAAAGAAAAGCGGGTATCAGTGGCTCACGCCTGTAATCCTAGCTACTCAGGAGGCTGAGATCTGATCGTCGTTTAAAGCCAGCCCTGGCAAGAAAGTCCATGAGACTCTTATCTCCAATAAACCACACAGAAAACTGGAAGTGGCACAGTGGCTTAAGTGGTAGAAATAGCCTTGAGCTGAAGAGCTGAGGGACAGTGCCCAGACCCAGAGTTCAAGCCCCATGACTGACAAAAAATAAAGAAAAAAGAAGAAGCTTTTATCTTCGTATCAGAAAATAAATCAACAATATAGACTTTTGATTCTGAACCCTGTTCATTTCTACAAGTAGTAGTTTAATTAATTGGTTGATTCTGGGTCATCTTTTGAAAAGATAAAGCTACTACAATAAAAATTAAGAAATACAATCAGAGCTTACAGCAGCTACATGTTATAATGGAAAGAGCACAAGATTTAGAATTAAATAATTCTAAGTTCAAAGACTAACATCTTTTCTTTTAGTATCAATTGTATCACCAGGAAAGTGATACTAAATAATGCCTGTGAAGCTAAGCCATGCAGGAAACTGTGACTCTTTTCTCCAATTAACCACCAAAAAGCCAAAACACACCAAACACAATGTGAGCCAGGTGCCAGTGCTTCACACCAGTAATACTTGCTACTCAGGAGACTGAGACCTGAGATTATGGTTCAAGGCAAGCCAGGGCAGGAAAGCCTGTGATACTCTCACCTCCAATGAATTACCAGAAAACCCAAAGTGGAGCTGTAATTCAAAGTAGTAGTGTGGTAGGCTTGAGTGAAAAAGCTCAGGGACAGAGCCCAGGCCCTAAGTTTAAGCCTATGACCAATAAAAACAAAATAAACAAAAAGGGTAATGTGGGCATACACCCCAGTGATACAGCATCTGCCTAGTAAGTTGAAGGTTGCACTCAGTCCCTATGTATTATAAAAAACAACAAAGTGTACTTCATAAAACAGTGATAAGGATCAAATACAACAGCACATATATTGTTCTTATTAGCACACATGTCAATATGGTATGTAAACAGAATAAACAGTAGTTTAACTTATCTTACCCTATCTTTGTACCCAAATATAAGTTGTTAAGTCTTTTTAGTCCTGGGGCTTGAACTCAAGGTCTTGGCACTATCCCTGAGCTTCTTTTGCTCAAGACTAGCACTCTACCACTTGAGCCACAGTACCACTTCCAGCCTTTTCTGTTTATGTGGTACTGATAAATTGAACCAGGGCTTCATGCATGCTAGGCAAGCACTCTACCACTAAGCTATGTTCCCAGCCATCCCTTTTGTGGTTTTGTTTTTGGTGTTGGGGGTCAAATCCAGATACTGCACTTGTTGGGCAAGCACTTTGCTACTGAGCTACATCCCAGCTCCCACTTTTTAAAAAGTAATTATAACCTCATATGAAAATATTTCCTGAGCTTAGGATATAGCTCAGTGTTAGAACACTTGCTTAGTATGCACAAGGTCCTGGATTCAATCTACAGCACACACACAAAAAAGAAATTCTTAAAAATCCCAGAGACAAAAAATGAAAACAGTCACTCACTCGTCCCATCATCTGGTTCAAAGTGGCCTGTGTTGTTCCATGTATTGCCGCTACTATTGCCATAGTTATCATCAGTACTGGCTGGCTCTGCATAATCAGCTGGATTAAAAGTTCTGAAAAAATGAAACATGAGTTTCTAAAAGGAGCTTCGGTAAACACTAACTCAAAGAGTACAATCAAATTTTATCTTATTCACAATATAGACAAATATAGATCAATCATGCACCATTCTATAATCTCAAATGCTGCCTTATTTTTTCACACTATTCAAAATGTAATCTGGGGGGCTGGGAATGTGGCTCAGTGGTAGAACGCTTGCCTTGCATGCCTGAGGCCCTGGGTTCCATTCCTCAGCACCACATAAGAAAAAAGAAAAAAGCTGGAAGTGGCACTGTGGCTCAAGTGGTAGAGCGCTAGCCTTGAGCTGAAGAGCTGAGGGA